TGACTTCGCTCCTTGAAAATGAAACTTCGCGAAAGCAAAGTGAATTCTTGATCAATTTCTTTCAAAAAGCAACCAAAGGAAAAGAGTGTGATTATAGGCAAACAATTCCACATATATACTTTATGCAGTTTCGAAGATTTTAAGGTAATAAAAATAGCGAAAGTTCGAACACTTCAAGCATCCATTTAATGTTTTGTATATAGATCAGTGGGATACTTCCATTTTGCGGGGAATCGCCACCAGTGATCCAAGTACCTTTTTTAATTCATTACTTTATGAACAAGGTAGTATATCACCATTCTTTGTCAATTTAGGATCCCGATCGTCTATTCATTCGTTTTCAAATGCCAATAAACCGTCCACAGTGGTCACTGGTACTGCTAAAGGTAACAGTTCCTTTTTTTGCCCCATAGATTCTCGTGCGCCAACTCATGTGCTAACTCTTATATGCAACTGTTCTCATGATTGTGCAGCGAAAGTTGAATTTTCGCTTCTCAGCTCTCAAAGAGCCCTTGTTTTCCTTTAGGCGAGGCATGAAAGTCGAGCAAATTTTTTAGGCTGTTGTTGGCGCATATATAGTGTCTTTACCCCGTGCTGAAAAGTCACTTAACCGTATTGGGAATCGAACCCGGCTTGCCAGTCCAACGCTCTATCAACTGAGCTACGAGGTCAAGTCGGTTTGAGTGCATGGGTGATATTTCAGAATTCAATCCATAGCAAATCAAAGGTCTCGGGTTCTATTCTTAAGCAACTTTTCAGCTTACCCGGTGTTGAGACACTCAGATTAATGAAATAATTAAACATCTGCATGCATGGATATATAGTCGGAGTGGCATCATCTCAAGCCAATCATGAGAGTTGTAGACACCTTGCAGGGGCACAGGCATTTTAGTCTATTACAGTACAGTACTACCGGTTTGTTTTTTTCAGAAGAAGACTGAGTTTTACGTAAACATCTCACAACTTGTCAACAAGATGTGTTCGTAATAGGCTTGTAGAAACCTTGTCAACAAGTTGTAACAACGCTGTTAATTGCAGGACGATAACTAGTCAATGGAACAACTTGTAACAAGTCTGTTGAGCTCAACAACCTTGTAGCAAGTTGTCAACAAGGCTATTATTTTATCAAGTTGCTACAAGGTTGTCACTCACAACAGACACAACTTGTTGACAAGTTGTTGAATTGCAGGACGATAACAAGTTACCAGAACAACTAGTAACAAGTCTGTTGAGCTCGACAACCTTGTACCAAGTTGTCAACAAGCCGCTGACAAGCTGGGCACAAGCAGTATGAACACATCCTGTTGACAAGTTGTTGGAACAGCATTGCTACACGTTTGCTACAAGTTTGTTACAACTTTGTTACAACGTGTGCTTTTTTACGTGTGTACGAGGAGAACACTCCCCTAATTCCACCAAAGTGAAATTCTTGCTTTTGTCTCAAATGAAATAACATTTCTCGCATTTAGATAACCTGCAACCGCCACGGGTTGTCAAAGGGAACTATTACTACACAGAAACCCTAGTTAGGAAACTATGTATGGCCTCTGGAATGGCCTGATAACATCTTAACTATTTTTGTCGTTCAGTCTCTCTAAGTCTTACCTATCTTTTCGCTTCTGTACGTATAGAAAATTTAACAGACACTACCTCAAACACACAAAAGAAGAATGTCCTTGCGCAAGCTGGCGGGAAAGTACCTCGTAGTGTTAGCGTTGTGGCCAAAACTGGCAGCTCATTGGCGAAGAGTGCTCCAATACAGATACCCGATCCAATGAGAAGGAGTTATTCCCTCACTTTCCCACGAGAGAGAATGAGTGACGGGGAAATCGCTGATGGTATGTGTTTATGTTTATATTGACGTATATACTATTACAATAGGTAACCTATTTGTTTGAAAATCCAAGCGTTAATTTCATTACGTGAATATTACATGTGACCTCTATTTCCTTGGGGATGGGATGAGCCGATAATCGGAAATTAATCGGTAAAAGCCGGTAATCGGAAACTTTCGGGTAGATCGGCATGTACCGGCGGTCCAATAAATATCATTCTGCAATGGCTCATTACTCGCTGGGGCACCTGTGCCCTGGCGAGTATAGGTTTCGGCTCTGATTTTTCTCCGATTGATAGCCACAAAATAGAATACTAATGAGCTACCTACTTTTACCCAAATTATCCATTTGGCTCCTGCCAATTTTTACCCAAATTATCCATAAATAACCCCAAGTATTGAGAAAAATTCAAGAATATTACTAAAAAAGCCAAAGCTGCTGTTTATTTTAACCAGTATGAACATGTTTACGTTGTTTTAAAACTGTCATTTTACTGCACTGAGGATTCAACGACACGGAACAATGAATTTGGAGATGTGTTAATGCCAAATAAATCTTGTTAAGCGGTCAAAATGACATCTTCTAGCCCGACAAAAATAGAAATACAAAGTAAGAGACAGCTATCGCCGATGGCGATGCACAGGAACAATTGTATGAAATATAAACTCGATATAAGACTGCTAATTCAGTGCTAACTATGCTTTTGTAAGAACAGAGTAGACCAGACACAGTACTAACTAAATGCGGTGCTTTACAAATAAAACTTTCATGCGATTCCGCCTACAAACTGTGCTATATGTAAAGGTTATATTTTATCGTATTCGCTACATTCCTCCTGTCGGCGGACAGTTCCACACGCATGGTTAATACTTCGCTTTAAAACCTTCAAAATAAACAATTGTCGAATCAAAATACTATCAAAATGAAGATAAAAGTGAGACGAATCCATTCGTATACGGCTGAAAAGGAGAAAACCAACGATACGAAAGTTATCAAGGAGCAAACGTACTGCATTTTTAAATAGCTGAATAATATAAATTTTGAGAGCGATTTGTGACATTTGTCAACAATACAATTTCGCTTGACTTTCAAAGGTCATATATCGCCAGAATACTGCTGTTCAGTAATGAATTTGGTATCCTAGGTACAATTTCGTACGCTGATTCGAACGATGGTATTTTTTTCCTTGTTGGGTCACTTGGATGCATAATAAACCAGAGATAGTCGGTCTCAGTCAGCGATTTAGACGGGCAAGGAATTTTCAGATAGGCAGTGGAAGCATTTGTTTCGGAACAAACTCCTCCCCCCAAACCGTCTGCTGTCAGGTAGCGGTGCCAAACTTGACACATCGGTGGGACACCGCAATTTTGCAACAGGGGACAGATCACAATTAACTCTTCAATTGGCCATATGCATGATTGTAGTACCAATGTACCATCACTGTGATCTGACAAGTGTATCACTATAGGCAGCCCATTAGCTTTTGACCGCTTGTGCTGAGAGACGGACTTGAACCAAGTCTACCCATTAGCCCCAGCGAGTCAACGCTCTTTCGAGCGTCTTGTTATTAAATAAATTGATTAATAAAATTGGTCAATGTACTCATTAGCCTGCATGGCAGGCGGTACGTAGGAAATACCGCCTGCCGCAAAACTGGGTGTAAATGAACTACCGCCCCTGAAGCATCAACGCTATTTATAGATGCATTAATTAAGTAAATATTCAAAATTAGCCACTCCCAAGTCCCAACTGCCCAACATAAAATAAATTCCTTGATTCTCATTACCGCCTGACTGAATTTTAAAATCCTCGTGAAAACGTTTTATATTTCGTTATACAATATAAATGTACCGCCCGACAAAATAATTCAAGACAGTTAATTTTTTTATATTTTATGTAGAGTTTTTATTGCCATTTTAAACTTCCAATTTGAAACAAACAGAATTTTGAATGAAATTTCTTTGTATTTTAAAGAAACTCAGTCATTCTGTCATTGTTCGTGGAGATACGAACTATTGATATATAAATTATATAAATATAAAATATAAAAAATAAATCTCCCACTGTCTTCGGCATTTCAAAGTGTAGACTGTGTCTAGTGATGAGAATCAAAGAATTTATTTTATGTGTAGTAATATAAACCAAGCTCGTTTAGCTGCCTTAAAACGGTAGTTTAATAAGCTCAAAATACAAAGCATGCAAGTCTATATTGAGTCTATACTATAGATTCATCATCAGTCAACAACCAAACTGAAAGTATCAGTTGAACCTTATAGAACGATAGTTTTTATTTGTTTACAACTATACATATTCAACGGGTATATAAGAGTTTAACTGTTATTTGATAATTACTGCATCAACCGGCCCCTTGTTTATACTTTGGAGGTTCGTATATAATATCTATCAAGTATCTTTGGTTCAGAACATGATAGGCCTATTCCTATATGAAAATCCCACTGTTCGATTCAGTGAAGAAATATCTCCTAATTTCTATCGATAGTTTTAGTAAAATGTCAACATTATTGCGATTTAATTATTTTATGGCCTTTGAAAGTCAAGCGAGATAGTATATTATCAAATTAATACGCATGTAATTGTCTGAACGAAAATATAGACTAGCCCATACCTTTCGCCGATCATAACTTCGGCCCCTTCGGACGTATCTTCTTTGTTAAATATTCTTGTTCGAATCTCTATCAAAAACACTACTTAGAGTGTTATTTTTTAGAGTGTTATTTTTCAGCTTGTATCTTTAAATTTGCTTCTTTTATTATGGTATTCCATTTCTGGTCTGACTTGACGTGAACTAATTTCAAAACGTCAAAACATTTGGTTAATGATTAACATTTAACCGAATTTAGCCGTTGATTGACAACTACATAAAAATACTAACCAATCCGTTTTTCCCGCTCACCAGCGGACGGGTAATTCAAAAACCCCTAGTTTTGCGGCAGACGGTATTTCCTTTGCTTCCCTAATTTTCGCTGCCCGTAGAAATACCGCCTGCCATGCAGGCTATGTACTCATCGACTAGCGGAATGACATTTTTGTTACCAGTCTGTTAACTTTTGTTAAGTTTTGCTAGCATTTTGACCCAATTTCGAGTGGAAAGTCCTGTTAGCAAATGTCGGTAACGGCCGATCGAATGGTAAATCGGATCGGAATCTATCTGATCGGTAAATTTGATTTTTTGATCGGTTCATTCGTAACAGACTCCAAACGGACAGACCAGAATTCTGGTCGTTTTCTAGAGGTGAGCACGATGATGTCATGCACTTTTTAAGATGTTACTGAACGTTTCGGGGTTCCGCACATAAAACAACAGCCAGACATACATCTAAATAATATTACCATTGTTTTGCTGCTGTACCTGCCAAAATGCTTTCTTAATTCATGGTTGGAAAATTGTTGTAGCAGCTTTGGTACTTACTGTAGCAATTCATCCGCCATTCATTGCCTGTAAACCTTTTCATTTAACAATCATCATGCTTAAATTATAGTAGTAATATTCTTAGAGTTCTTCACTAATCTATAGTGCTATTAGTTAACAAATTCATAATATTTACTGTATATAATTTATGAAATCAGTAATGAACATACATAGGTAATTAATGAGGGGAGGGATTTATTCTATTTTTGTAAATCATAGTAGTACACACCTTTTTTGGAAACCAGCATTAGTTGAAAAGATTGTTGTGTTTAAATAAAGTTGATCCATCCATATTACGGGGGGGAGGGAGGGGGGGGGGGGCTCTGGCACTATTTAAGTCTCAGAATTGAAAAGCATTGTAGCCCTCACAACAACAAAGACAAATGTGTATCTTGCCTTTTTGATATGTACATATTTATTATTTTAGTACAAATTTTATGCCAAAATAATATTTACAACTATCGTCCAATCACTCTACAGTACATGTGTCGAAACAAGAAATGTTTCATAAAAGTTCCTCGGCCTTAACTTCCCTACTGCATAGCTAAACACACTTCATGATAAAACATCTTGCTTTTTACATATTTAATGTGTGCTAAAAGTAGTTGCATGTATGCGTTATTTAATTACAATACCAATCTAATTATATACTTACATGCAATATTTCATTATTATTAAATATACTTATTACAGTTTTAGCATGACAAAATTACTACATGCTGATTGGTTGAGAGGAGTACAATTATTTAATTAATTGTACTGCAGTACAATTAATGATTTTCCCAAACAAACAAAATGGCGGAAAGGTATTTAAACACTGATGAAATTGCCCTAGATGAACTTAAAGCAAACGAACTAAATGAAAATACGAGCAAAGACACCAAATTTTGGTTGAAAGTCTGCCAGGACTGGGCTTTTATGATGTTGACATTGAGAATTCTCCAATTTCGTCATGCTAATAATAAACAAATAATCATGCGACGTTGCTTGTGCAATTAGGGATTAATAGTACTTGTGATGTTTGGAAATTTTGCCAAATTGGACGAGCCGCCAGCGTTTCTTTAAATTATAGTTAGAAAAAGTTCAAAGTCCATTTACAATGGCTGGAGAGGTCTTAACTGACATCACCAAGATCTCCACCTGACCATTGCCATCACTCTGCCCAATAATTATTCCTCCTAATTCTTCTTCCAAATCAGGATCGGCATCTGAATCATAAGCCATGATATTTGGATTTAAACCAACCTTTGCTGGTTGTTGTTGATACAGCTTTTGACCATCACCAGTCTCCTGTATTGGAGGCCTACGATCACTCCCAGGGTCATGCGCCGTAACTGGATTTTCACCAGCCAGGAATGACGTAGTTGCTATCATTTGTCTCTCTCCTTGCTGCTGTGTTTCTTCATTTTCCACAAAGTCCTCTTCATTGTTATCATCAGAATCCTGCTCGCTTGGCGTAGGACTTTCACCTCCTTTATCCATGTCTTTGTTCTGGGAACGCAAAAATAGAATCATTTCAATTCTGTACGTCAAACTTGAACCGTTCTAATCAGGAATTTTGGCTGATTTAACCAGCACTCTCCCAGGCTGAGTGAAGAAAACTTTGAAGACTTTTTATACATTTGGTCGAAATTTTCGCTTCCAAAAGATGGGTCCAAAACTGCAAATTGCGCTTTGAATTGGGGGGATTATGGGTATCAGTTATCCAGTTACCATCATAAAATATTTTGATCTTGTTACCTAGGGAGAATACGTTATTGTAATTGGTGTTACCCTCGTTAAATAAATTTTATCGTATCGTGTGGTAGCTAATGTAATTAATAACTAGGTCATAATATACCCCTAAACTTGATGAAGGGGGGGGGGGGGGGGGGG